AAATTAAATATGCTCCACAAATCTAAATTTGAAACACCTTACAAAGGCTGTATATCACTAAGTTGGTATTTTAGGAAGGACAGATTTAAAAAGTATCATGCTACCATCGTGTACTTTGAAGAACTTAAAAATAATGAGTAAAATGGGTATAAATGCATGTTTCTAAGACAGTCAGTCATTTTAGATGGACTTTAACAGTAAAGATAAACTTTTGTTATCAGACCATAAAAACTTTATGTAATAACTACCTAGTTATATGACAATAGTATTTAGTCACTTATTATTATTTTATATAGTTTGTCCAGAACATTTTCAGTTAAGAAAACATGAATATAGTATAATACAAAAATCTGAATAACTCTAAATACCAAAAGAAAAAACAAAGCCGACCATAAAAGAGATACTAGTAAAGTACATTTACATCCATATATACACACAATTATAGTAGATAATACCGTTTACACTAACGAAACTCTCATTAAAAAATAATTCTAAAAATGGGTGTCATTTTGCCTTTCTTTTTTGCAACGTTATCCTTAGATGGCAAGTTTAGGTAGAGAGTAAAATAAAACAGTAAAACAGTTTTAAATATACTGGAAAAACAGATAAAAATAATATCGAAGTAAAACTAAATGGCTGAAATTTCATATTAATTTAGCAAATATGGTAAAAATGTTAGGATAAAGATTATTAACCAAAGCACGTATACATACACCACACATCTTTTTCAAAGCACTTTACAAGCACTTGCTAACTGGATTCACAGAAATACATAGTGGGTCTTGACAGATGATTTGTTCTGCACCTAAAGGTTCCTTTTACAAAGCTAAGCAAGTAACAGTTAAAACCAGGGCTTGAAATTTACATAGGTTGGTACTGTTTTTACTTCTTTATTCTCCCTCTCTAACTCATCTATAAAGACAACACTGTAACTGAACTCACTGGAGTTTGCTAAGCAATGGCAAAAAGGCTCTTTTACTCAGGCATAATGAAGACTGTGTATCAGAGATGAAGTTAGGAACTAGGCAGTCTCAGCAGATTAGTGTGTTGACATGGCAAGCTCCAAGTCCAAAGACCAGACTCTACCTGTGACTTACTGGATAATGATAAGAATAAATCATTTCAGTTTCTGTAAACACTGGAAAAAGCTGTGACAAAGACAGCTAGGTGAAAATTTTTATTCTTAAAAGTCCCAGGGCCGGGCGCGGTGGCTCAAGCCTGTAATCCCAGCACTTTGGGAGGCCGAGGCGGGTGGATCACGAGGTCAAGAGATCGAGACCATCCTGGTCAACATGGTGAAACCCCGTCTCTAATAAAAATACAAAAAAATTAGCTGGGCATGGTGGTGCGTGCCTGTAATCCCAGCTACTCAGGAGGCTGAGGCAGGAGAATTGTCTGAACCCAGGAGGCGGAGGTTGCGGTGAGCCGAGATCGCGCCATTGCACTCCAGCCTGGGTAACATGAGTGAAACTCCGTCTCAAACAAACAAACAAACAAACAAACAAAAAAAGTCCTAATAACTAAAGAGAGATGAGTAACCTTATGACTATAGATGAAACATATCCATTTTATTTTATTTTAATTAATTAAGTTTTTTGAGACAAGGTGTCACTCTGTGGCCCAGGCTGAATTGCAGTGGCATGATCATAGCTCACTTAAAGTCCTGAACTCCTGCATCAGCTAACCTTCCTGCCTCAGCCTCCTGAGTAGCTGGGACTACAGGCCCATGCCAACATGCCCTGTTCATTTTTTTCTTTCCTCTAGAGATGGGGATCTGCTTTGCTGCTCAGGCTCGTCTTAAACGCCTGGCCTCATGCAATCCTCAGGCCTCAGCCTCCCAAAATGCTAGGATTATGGGTTGTGAGCCACCACACTCAGCTCCACATTCATATTTTTGAGCTAAATTCAACTTTAATAAAACTAAGCTCTTTTTCATATTCTTGGCCAGGTACAGTGGCTCATGACTGTAATCCTAGCACTTTGGGAGGCCAAGGCAGGAGGATCACTTGAGCCCAGGAGTTCAAGACCATTATTGTAAAAAATTATTATTATTTAATAAAATTAAGTTCTTTTTCATATTCTTAAATATCAGAAAATTCAATTACATTTTAAATATTATTTAACTATATTCAAGTAACCTACTGAGTCTATAACTAAAAGCTTTGAGAAAGAAAGAGTCCAATTTTGCTGTTGGCATGTTATCAAGGCAACTGTAAAATCCCACCAAGTTTAGTCAAACACCTCTAGTCTAAAATTCATTTTAATTGCCACATTTTCTTTAATATTAGTAATTTACTTAGATGTAGAATATATTTTAGTATAAGAAATGTAATTTTGTGCTTTATATACACTTTACTTGTAAGTTTAAAAAAAAAACCTTTTAGGCCGGGCGCGGTGGCTCATGCCTGTAATCCCAGCACTTTGGGAGGCCGAGGCAGGCAGATCAGGAGGTCAAGAGATCAAAACCATCCTAGCCAACATGGTGAAACCCCCTCTCTACTAAAAAATACAAAAATTAGCTGGGCGTGGTGGTGCACACCTGTAGTCCCAGCTACTCAGGAGGCTGACACAAGAGAATTGCTTGAACCCGGGAGGCGGAGGTTGCAGTGAGCTGAGATTGTGCCACTGCACTCTAGCATGGCACCTGGCGACAGAGCAAGACTGTCTCAAAAGAAAAAAAAACTTTTTAAAAAACGGACAAAAGTCTCTTAGTGAGGAGGAAAGGTTTTTGGTTTTTCTTTTAGCTTATCTAATTATACTTATGTGAAACAATGTAACTACACATTAGCTACACCAATGAAAAGCAATCCTACAATCACTTTTAAAAATCCAATTTCAAAAAGGCTATTGTAAATAAAACAACATAGTTAAGTTTTCCTTGTTATTTATGTATATAAATCAGAACAAAAGAGAAATTTGTTCAATGTATTCAAAAGAAACATGAAATATTTTTAAGGGCAGAAGCTTTATCTCATTAAGAGAGCAAGTCTCACTAATATTTAAAGAACAAGACTTCCTTCCTTACTTTACATTGTAAAATATGAAAACATCATGTACTAAAGTCTACTAAATGTACTTTAGTAAACAGTATGTTCTGTAATTCAGTTCTATTTTGAGATTGTAGACAAATTATTTATATTTTAAAACAATAAGATAAAGTCAACTTTAAAATGAGAAGAAAAACCCAACAATATGTTTAATTAGATTTAGTCATTCCATAATGCATACATATTTCAAAACATGTTGTACATAATAAATATATGCAATTTTTGTCAAATAAATTAATTTTGGGCAGGCACAGTGGCACACACCTGTAATCCTAGCACTTTGGAAGGCTGGGGTGGGTGGATCGCTTGAGCTCAAAAGTTCAAGATCAGCCTGGGCAACATAGCAAAACCCTGTCTCTAAAAAAATACAAAAAAGAGCCAGGCATGGTGATGCATGACTGTAGTCTCAGCTACTTGGAGGTGAGGGGTGTTGAGGCAGGAGGATCACTTGAACACGGGAGGCGGAGGTTGCAGGGTTGCAGTGAGCTGAGATTGCAGCACTGCACTCCAGCCTGGGTGACAGAGTAAGATCCTGTTCAAAAAAAAAAAAAAAAAAAAAGGCTGGGCACAGTGGCTCACACCTGTAATCCCAGCACTTGGGGAGGCCAAGGTAGGCAGATCAGGAGGTTAAGAGATCAAGATCATGCTGGCCAACATGGTGAAACCTCATCTCTACTCAAAATACAAAAATTAGCTGGGCATGGTGGCACACAGCTGTAATCCCAGCTACTCAGGAGGCTGAGGCAGGAGAATTACTTGAACCTGGGAGGCACAGGTTGCAGTGAGCTAAGATCACACCATTGCACTCCAGCCTGGGCCACAGAGCGAGACTCCGTCTCAAAACAAAAAGAAAAATTAATTTTAATAAATAAACCAAAATTTATAACAAACAAAAATACAGATTTCTAAGACAAAAACATCCTCACAATCCAAACAAATGAAAATTTAAGTGCACAGAATTGGTATCACCAAAAGAAAGCTTTCTCTAGCCTTATACTCTGGTAGTCTGAATTTCTGTAAAAAGTGTGACAGAGATTTTGAAAACAAAAATTGCAATAAAAATAGACATATAACCCACAAACTTGAGCTAGGTATAATGATGATAAAAACAAAGATGAATTTAATGTTTAAACAAAATTTGAAAAAATAATTTGAAAAAAATATATAAAGTTAACAGTGAACAAGTGTTCAAAAGATACTCATTACAGAGATATGACAAAAATCTTGCAAAATCCAAAGGTTGAATACATTATGTTCATTTGATTTTTATACACAAGGAACTAGGCAACCATTAGGAGCTAAGCTGACATTTTTAACAGGTGCATATTCATTCTTCTATCACTAACTTAAATTACATCTTCTTTTGTATATCATCATGTTCCTTTATAAAAACAACTGTATTGGACATCTTATATACATATCTCCATACAAGAGACACTAGTCCTCTTATTTCCTTTGGCAAATACTTAGAAGTGGAATTTTTTTTAATAACGAAACTGAGATAATACTTAAAAAATTTTGTAAACCATTTTCTATTTCCTTGTGACATTTAATATTCTTCAAGAAAAAATACAAGAAAAACGTCTAAATTTATCTGAAATTTAAGAATTCTCCCTTTATTTCTTTAATATCCTATACTTAACACAAACACATAGTTAACTTATAACCCAAAGATCAGTATAAATGAGTGCTGATAAAAGTGGGTGAAACCACTTATCAGTATGTAATCTATATGCTTCCATCTTAATGCTGTATTTCACAAAGTAATAATTCAATCATAAAACCTTGTACTTTACTCAAAGGCCTTATCTAAACACATGCATTACGTGTTCCTTCTTAGCTTTCAATCTGTGAAATACCAGTGGGTAGCAAGAGCAACTAAAACACCAACCAATCATTTTGAACTTCGCTATCAACTGCAATGAGGCTTATTTAGCGTGTTGTGGAAATTAAGCAGCATTAAGATTACTAAGTAACAAAGCAACTACTGCTGCTATCATCCCACGGTCTTCTGTGTTTTGCCTTTAAAAGCAAAAATATTAAGGATTATTAAGACAACTCTTCTTCTGTAACTTACTGGAAGAATGAGGTAAGAGGCTAAATGTTTCACATTTGTTTACTAAATTTAATTCTAGAACACAGTGAAATTTGGAGGGAAAATTCTATTTTTAATTTAATCCTAGATTTATGTTTTAAAGGTAACCGGAAACTATTTTGGAGAAATTTTTCTTTAATAAAAAAATTTTTTGAACAAAAGGTTTATTGTTGTTAATTGAGAAAAAATTTGAGGTAGCTAAAGTTAACACTCAAATTATACTGGAAATTCCTTGCTTATTTTTACTAAATTTCTCATAACTTCCAGAAGTCAGGGGCTAAGTTTCCATATGTTAGCTGTAACATTAATAGCATGAAAGTGATTATAACTGTCTGAAATGATGAAAGAAATTTAACCAACTTCTTTTCCTTCCTAGGTAGCCAGTGTTTCTAAATTTTATCTTTTTTATGCTAAAAATTATTTATTCTGTTTTTATTGACTAGTAACAGATTTCAACCTAACTTCTAATGGCATTATATCACAGATTCAAAAAATGATCAATTACAGTAAAGTCAGAATTGGAATTATTTCTTGAGAAAATACAAATATGATATAAAATACAAATTACACCATTAATTCAAATCACAATGAAACAGAGTTTCAAATCTACCAGTCCCTAAACGTATTTAGAACATGAATATATTGAGACTTTCTTCTGTGAAACAGGTTTACTTAGAGATATAGTACAGATCTCATCTAGAGCAAAAGGAATCTTCTTCTATGTTTAATGGTGTTACCAAGTGTAACAGCAACTCCATGTGGACTGTGTACCAATTTCCATTGGAGATGCTGTTACTTTTGATGGCTACCAACTTGCTACAATATAAAAGTATAATAAAGAAAGACAGAAAATTGTGGTCACTTGGAATCTGATTTGATTCTGGCAGAAACAAGATAAGCTTTCAGCCTGTTTTATAAAATTAACAAATGGTTAAGAATTAATATCAATTTTCTTAAATTCAAGTGTTATATCACCAAAAAGATCCAGTAATAGAAGAGGATGAGAGTCATCATTCAGAAATGGTATACAGGAAAATGACCTATGAATTGACAGATAATGTGGCTAAGTTTGTCTGTCATTTCTTTAGGCCAATATTCTGTATGACTGTGCTACTTCAATACCAGAAATCAACTAACACCATGCAACCAATGCATTGGCAGATACACAGAAGAATCTGTAACACTACCACGTAAATGTATTGAGTAAATAAAACATAAATATACCTAATGAAAACTCGTTTGTGTTTTTCTGAGAAAGCTCATATTTATTTCACCTAACTTACTGACCAATCAACTGATGTACCAATTAATTGTCAGGATGAAATTATAGTCAAACCAGTTTGCTATATTTACAAATACATACATATGATCCACCTCAGAGTCCAGAGGGCTATTTCACTGAGGAATCCCCACCCACTTCAATCACTTCAGTAAAATTCCCTAGATATCTTGCTCTCTCATAAATGAAAAAAACTTAGCCGGGCATGGTGGCATGCACCTATAGTCCCAGTTACTCAGGAGGCTGAGACAGGGGAATCACTTGAACCCAGGAGGTGGAGACTGCAGTGAGCAGAGATCGTGCCACTGCACTCCAGCCTGGCCATACAGAAAACTCCGTCTCAAAAAGAAAAAAAACAAAACAAAACAAAAAAATTAGCCAGGTGTAGTGGTGGGTACCTGTAGTCCCACTACTTAGGAGGCAGGGGCCGAAAATCACTTGAACTCAGGAGGCAGAGGTTGCAGTGAGCCAAGATTGCACCACTGCATTCCAGCCTACATGACAGAGCGAGGCTCTGTCTCAAAAAACAAAAAATATCTGTGGCCTGTATTTTCCCGGAACCCTAAGATAAAAAAAAATAAATAAATAAAATAAAATAAATAAATGGTTCCGGGTATCTGTAGCAGGAAAAAGCCTACTTTTCAGTGTACAAGCTTTTCTATTATGAATTATTCACTATGTTATCTATTATCTTTTCAAATTTAAAAAAAAAAATAAGGAAAGAAGAAAGAACTGGGAATATAACGATCAGTGTAATCATGTATATTTAACTATATTATCGTTTCTTGAATTTTAAGTATCCATACAATTACATAATTCCATTTCCACTGAAAAGGAGAGAAGATTCAGAATATGAGAGTGATTCTCTTCATTTATGAAGAAAAATGACGTTTCAGGTTCACCTGCTAAATACTGTCCACCTTTGGATCCAGGATGTTTTAATCCAGCCCAATAAATTCTCATAGAAAAAAATCAGAGCCTTTACTTCTAAGTATCAATATTTATGTAAATCTGGTTTTTAATATTTTAACTATATGAAAGAATCTTTTTGAGTTTATATTTTAGTCCCCCAAAAAGACTATTTTAGCATATTTTATTTTAACATATATAAACAGTTCTCAATTGTCCACATTATTTTTCCATTTTTGAAGAAAAAACAACTCACTCTAAAACACTGAAAAATTTTAGAATGCATTCTACCTGTTGATCAAGTATTCATCCTTTGTCTTATGATGAAACACAGGAATTGGAACACCCCAAGTTCTTTGCCTTGATATACACCAATATGGCCGCCTGTCAATCATGTCAACCATGGCATTCAGTGCTGATCCAGGAATAAATTTCACCTTTTTTAACAATTCCTGCAATTAATTCATAAATAAAGTCTTGTGAGAAAAGTAGAACAAAGATTCTAGACAGTCTAGACAGTGAATTTTCGAAATGCATTTCTTTCTTTTGGATGTTTGTAGCCATCCACATGCCTTTCTTACCTGCTCCTCCCCCCCAAAAAAACCTGAAAAACTAAAAGATTTCAGAGCAAATAAGGCAAAGTAAAAATGAAGCCACAAAGAACTTAATAAATAATATCAGGAGCAGACTTCACCTTTGAACAATGTTACAAAAGATTTTATGCCAATTTCCAATTTACATCAACCCTAGATCAAAACTGGTAATAAAAGCTTTCATAGAAGTATAATACTTCACTAAACTACTGTACAGTTAAAATCAATTCAAACTTGATTTCCACCATTTTTTAAGCATTTTTTAAAATGCTTATAAAATAAATTACTGAACTGGGCGCAGTGGCCCACCGCTGTAATCCCACCACTTTGGGAGGCCGAGGTGGGTAGATCACCTGAGGTCAGGAGTTCAAGACCAGCCTGAGCAATATAGAGAAACCCCATCTTCACCAAAATTAAAAATTAGCCGGGCATGGTGCCACATGCCTGTAATCCCAGCTACTCGGGAGACTGAGGCAGGAGAATCACTTGAACCCATGAGGCAGAGGTTGCGATAAGCTGAAATCACGCCATTGCACTCCAAACTGGGCAACAAGAGTCAAACTCCATCTCAAAAAAAATAAAAATACATAAAATAAATTACTATCGTAAGCTGCCAAAAAAGATCGCAATATACCTAATTTTACATAATATAGTTTACAATGTAGAAAACACTTTCTCAAAATAAGGCCAAGCATGTGGCTCACACCTGTAATCCTAGCATTTTGGGAGGCTGACGTGGGAGTATCACTTAAGCCCAAGAGTTCAAGGTTGCAGTGAGCTATGACCATGGCACTGCACTCCAGCCTAGGCGACAGAGCAAGAGCCTGTCTCTAAAATAAATATCCACCTATAAATAGACAAATGGATAAGTTACTTCCTATCAATAAAGCTGCTTTCCTTCACTCCCACAAAAAGGCTAAAAACTGCTACCATTTGATTTTATTTGTCAATTAGCAAAAGATGAATTGTATAGCAAAAATGTTTATTAATAGTCTCTAAAAAGGTCAAAATGTTAACTTCATTTTAAAAAATCTTTCTATCCATTAATAAAAGCATTGTTACATTTTCAGAGAAGGTTTAAATGGTTTCCTCACTCACCATTTACTACCAGAAGTCCCCTCCCCCAAAACTCTCTGTAGCACCATCTATTGGCAGAATGGCAAAATGCCTATAAATCAATTTGATTAATACTATACTTGGTTTAAAAGTATAAGAAATGTGAATATTGAATAGATACTTGATTTTGCTAAGGAATAACTACTGCTTTTTAAATGTTGTGATAATAGCATGGGAATTATGCTTTAAAGAGTTTATCTTGGGCTCATGCCTGTAATCCTAGCACTTTGAGAGGCTGAAGCAGGCAGACTGCTTTGAGCTCAGGAGTTGAAGACCAACCTAGGCAACCTGACGAAACCCTCTCTCTACAAAAAATACAAAAATTAGCCAGGCGTGGTAGCACACACCTGTAGTCCCAGCTACTCAGGAGGCTGAGGTAAGAGGATCGTTTGAGCCTGGGAGGTGGAGGTTTCAGTGAGCTGAGATCACACCACTGCACTCCAGCCTGGGTGACAGAGTGAGACCCTACTTAAAAAAATAAAATAAAATAAAGCCTGGAGTTTGCTTCAAAATAATACAATTGGTAAGGGGTAAAAAGTGGGTGGTGGAAGAAATGTAGATAAAAACAAAATTGGCCGGGCGCTGTGGCTCACACCTGTAATCCCAGCACTTTATGGGCAGATCACAAGGTCTGGAGTTCGAGACCAGCCTGGCCAACATGGTGAAACCCCATCTCTACTAAAAACACAAAAATTAGCCGGGCATGGTGGCACGCGCCTGTAGTCCCAGCTACTTGGGAGGCTGAGGCAGGAGAATTGCTTCAACCCAGCAGGAGGAAGTTGCAGTGAGCAGAGATCATGGCACTGCACTCCAGCCTGGCAACAGGGCAAGACTCCATTTCAAAACAAAATAAAACAAAAACAAAATTAACCAAAAGCTCATTATTGTTGAAACTGAGTGACTGGACTACGACAATACATTATCCTATTCTCACTGCTTCTGCAAAGAACAATTTTTTTTTTTTTTTTTTTTTTTTT